AATTAGCTGCTTCTGTTTCGAAGCACCATGCACGGAGAAATTACAATTAAATTTGCAGACTCCATTCCCTGGCGCTTCGAACACTTTTTCCCAGCACGAACAGAAATTTATTACGTGACATTGGAACTTGTTGTATCCACCGAGAACTGGACTATTTTCTTATTTCAAATCCAATTACGCTGATAAAGTCGTTGCACCAAATGGCCGGAGAGACGATACCTGCCATGACACCCAACAAGACGAGAGCGACACCTTGCGGCAAGGAATAACAAGGGCGATAACCAGAATACAGCTCAAGGTGACGTGGTCCTGAAGTATCGTCTAGACCCAATCATGAATCATTTATGGCGTCCTCAGCGATAGAAGATTACACACAGTCACACACTGTCAGGCCAGTGAAAGGAAATAACTATAACACAGGCGATAAATAAATAAATAAATAAACAAATAAATAAATAAATGTTAGATTCACAAACTTCACAATAAAACCAACAACAACACGCTTCAACGTGAATTATTTACCTTACATTAACATTAAACTGCTGAAAGCGAAATTAAAAATGTACCTTACAGGTTCCGAATTTTATAACGAAAAATCGATAAACCTTTCCTATCTATTTCACTCCAAGCTGGGTAATTGGAATTGATGCTTTCTTTGAGAAAATACACGGACCACAGTAAGAGCTTGAGTTTGTGTGATGTGAGGAATTTGATAAGAATTTTGTCAGTCATCCTCAAGGCTTCTGGAAGCCCAACTCTTGAAGACAGATGGCTGTATGGAATGTATATCCTTACGTCCAGCGCTGATCGATCGACTCGAGGGAGTGCGGATATATACCTTCAATATCGGTCCTTTAATAAACCTATCCTGTGTCTCTCCCTGTACAAACCATGCAATTATGTCATAAAACTGCTGACAACGCGAAATGGTATTCAGTAATTGTGAATAGAGTAGGCTCTTTAGAGGGACATCGAGTCTGGGGTATGGCTCCCTGTATGGAACGAGCCGATCTCATGTTGGTTAATTCCGATACATTTACACTGATGGTCTGGATATTTACATGTAAAATGATTGATTACCAATGTATTTTTGTACCTCCTGTGGAAATGAAGCTACTAGATAATCCGCTAGACTCTTGCCACCTTGGTTCACACATCTACCTGCTAAGCTAGGTGTTTGCAGACATAAGATTAATCACATTTGTTTTTAAATGTTGTGGGCAATGTACCAAAGACATTGTCGACATCGGATTTGAATTTCAATGGATCATTTATTGGCTCTGTCGGTGTTATTTTCCCGTGAAGGTCTGACGTTTTCTCATAATGTTTTCGCTAATGTCCCCATTAAAAAGCATCTTATAAATGTAAGTGTAAGAGCACGGTCGCCCAGCCGTCTCTCTCTCTCTCTCTCTCTCTCTCACTCACTCACTCACTCACTCTCTCACTCTCTCACTCACTCACTCACTCTCTCACTCACTCTCTCTATCTCTCTCTCTCTCTCTCTCTCTCTCTCTCTCTCTCTCTCTCTCTCTCTCTCAAGAGAACAGAGATTTGGTAGACATAGCCAGTGGCGGACACTGACGCATCCCGTGATATCCTTCTTATAGATACTGCTGCTGGTTGTAAGAAGATTTCACGCTCATGTACGTCTGGACTGAGCATCTAATGCCACAGTGTCCGGTGATACATCAGCATTACGCGATTACTGAAAACGAAGTTTCAGTTTGCAAATAGCAACAAGGCAACAGAATGATCTGTTCTGCATGTCGCACGCCGAGTCTCGGTTGTCGAACATCTAAATATCAAAATATGTTTCTCTTCATGTTGCACAAATGGACCAGACTAGAAGCACCTGTCCAAGAGCTTCCCCATGACCCATTTATTCAGAACTAAGACCATAAAATATTAATTATTAGATTTCCATTGAATTCTTTTCAAAAGCTTATTTGTTTGTCTATTTGCCGCACTCAGCAATATTTCAGGTACATGATGGCGGTCTGTAAATAATTGAATCTGGACCAGATTATCCAGTGACTGACATGATGAGTATCAATTTACGCAATTTGGATGCATGCATCAACAAAGTCACAGAGCCTGACCATCCGATCCCAATCGCCTCTTACGAGCATGGGTTTGGTTTACTGACGCTTCGACTATTAACATCGAACCGTACTCTCTCTAGGTTCAATAGAATGAGTATGTTTAAACGCCGCTTTTAACAGTAATCCAGTTATATCACGGCGTGACAGCTTAATGTGGGAGGAGAGCCCGAAGTGATGCAGGACTCAGACGTTGCTTACAACCTAGAAACATAATCGGGACGAACCGGGATTCGAACCCACAATCATAGGTTTCTTGTGTGCCCAAGGGACGCCACTCTGCACAGCGACTGCGGCGCCTTAGACGACTGGGCCACCCATGCTGCCTTTGGGTTCAATAACTGATGCTAGGGTGGTAAAATGAGTGAAGTTTTGCGCTGCTTAAGCAATATTCTAGCAATATCACGGCGAGGAACACAAGAAGTGGGCTTCACACAATGTGCCCATGTGGGAATCGAACCAGGGTCTTCTACGTGACGAGCGAACACCTTAACCACTACCCCACTGCCCCTAGGGTGGTGGAAGGTTGGACATGAGTTATTCAATAGCGAATAGTTTAGGATTCCAGTGATAATTAATATTTTTTCATTTATTACGACTACCTACATAACGAGTTTATCAGGGGGTTCTGATGTCACGTTCAGGGCTGTGCCGTAGAAACAGTCTGCCCAGAACATGGATGAAAACAAATAAAACATATGCATGGTGTTTATATGATGGAAATGGACGATTGCAATATTAATTCAGCGACAGTTTCATAAATCATTTCACCGCTTGCCACGAACCATCGTTTTGCCATTGTTCTTCACATTTCCGTCCTTGTTTGCAAAACAGTTGTGCAATTTTACATTTTGAGAACCCTAGAGCAGCGCGATCACATATCTCGCTACGGTTACCAAACATGTTTGTTGGTGTTTGTGTCTGAAACAGTACAATTCAGTCAGCTATTTACCTAAACTTTTAAACCAGCGTTGCTGACAGTATGTACACTTTTCAAAATCCATTTCACCTGTTCGCTAAAACGGGTATGCTAAGACGAAAATGAGGCACCCGTTTAAAATTCCGTTTACATTTGCGAAGCTAATGGTGCACTTACGTCCGATACGATCTATACGTGCTGTAGAGGGACAAGGGGTGGTTACCGTACACTTGACATCTAACACTTCAATGCCTGCCAAATAATAAGAAAATGACACGCAAATGGACCTAGCGGGTAGACTAGTTTACATATGCACCCGGTATAGAGTTCCCGGGGGGACAGAGGAACACAGTGCCGAGCCACACACCTGTTTATATAGGATTTATCAAGATTGGAATTATAGTTTCAGATAAAGATTAACCGAGTGAGTTAAGTCCAAAGTCGGATTGAGCAGTATTTAATTCTTTTTACATCTTAGCTTCTTGAGGGAAGACCGTTGTGATGCAGGTCTTAGACGTGTACTCGGGGCGGTTGGGTAGCCTAGTGGTTAAAGCGTTAGCTCATCACGCCGAAGACCCGGGTTCGATTCCCCATTGTGTTAAGCCCATTTCTGGTGTCCCCCGCCGTGGTATTGCTTGGATATTGCTAAAAGCGGCGTAAAACCATACTCACTCACTTAGACGTTTACCACTTTGAGTACGGGTATGGTGATGTTAATTTGCGAGTAATGCCCCTAATGATGCAGATGTTACGTACTGGCGAAACCCACGTTCACAGTATGGTGCTGACAAACCGAGAAACACAATCACGCTGAATCTAGAATCCAAACCCACATCGATTCTGAAACGACTAAGGGGTGAAGAGGTCCACAACGACTTGTGGCGCTTGGTCCACTGGGCCAACAAAGGCTCCTATAGATAATGATGGTTAATTAACAGAATTACGTACGGGCGTTGTAAGTTCGTTCATAAAGGTCATCGGTGATTTCCGGCGTTCTTCGGGAACCCCTGTGGGGCAAAATGGATCCCCAGTACCTCAATGTCTGGCTTACTGGAATATTTCCAGGCCGCTAGGATTTAGAGTATTTGAACACAGGAATAGTTCTTACTGCCTCGTAGAGTATCGTTCACATACTCATTCCTCCTGCGAGTGAGTGAGTGAGTCGCTTTTAACGCTGTTTTGAATACACATTTTTTTAGTTATATCACGACGTGTCAGCTTGATGTGGGTTGAAAACCCGAGGTGATGACGGTCTTCACCGCTTTGTTGAAACCCACGACCACGAATATGGTGTCATACCTGGAAATCGGGGCGAATCGGGATTCAAACCCAAGATAAGTAGTGTCTGGCACGCATAAGGGACGCAACTCTGTATAGAGAATTGTGGAGCCTTAGACGACTGGGCTAACCGTGTCCCCTCACTCGTCACGAACATTCCGTACAGCATTCAGAGAGGTAAAGGCCACTTAGGCGACGCTCTTATTTAGCAGCGTAGGAGCAAAACACACACAAACAAATCACTTACGATATTTTCACCAAAGGCATTGCGAAAGTTGGCGTGCGGGGCTTTACGTAAGTGGAACTTGTAATGGAACGCACAATCGAAACAAAAGCAGTAGAATGAATAATAGCATGCCAGGATAAGCATGTCATGAATTCTTATGAATATATACGTCAAGAAGATTAACTTACAGCTTACTTTACCCAAAATGCAGACAACAATAAAGAATCAGTGACATCGTGCAGCATAATAATACCACAAAAGCCCCGCCCATTCTGTTATCAGCCAATCAGAAAACAGTATTCCGTCAGTGGGAGTGGTCTATTTTTTCGGGTCGTGGAAACCTGTTCGCTTATCAAATGCCACAGAATAGCGTGCACTTAATGTATTCGACACCATCTCGACTGCGAGGTATGCATGCTGAATAACTTGTGAACAAACCACGCTGTTAAATCGAAGCAGGCAGGAACTATTTTCTTACCTGCAGAAGGCGCGCAATGTCTCCACGTCGACGCCGCAGCACATCTTCCGCTGAGAGTACTGCATGTTCTGGTACTGGCTACTGTAGTCTGTGAAGCAGCTATAAGCCTGCGATTTGACATCCTGGGGACATTCTCCCTTCACCCCACATACCACTGAAACAAACAACAACAACAACAATAATAAATAGACAGTCAGCTAATAGCGAGTGAGTTAAAATTTAACGTCGCATCGGCATTACAGTAAACTACGGTTATAACGAACTCAAAGGGACTACTAATTTTAGTTCGTTATAACCGTAGTTCGTTATAAGCATATATACAGCATAACTACAGCATATAGTCGGGACTAAAAAGTTAGTTCGTTATATCCGTTAGTTCGTTATAAGCGTGTTCGTTATAACCGTAGTTTACTGTATTTCAGCCATATAGCGACGACAGCTGATAGACACGTCAGTGTTCGAGGTCTTGGTGTCTCAGTGTCTCATTTATAAAAGCAGTAAAGATCACATGTCTGTCATGTCATTGGAACAACCTCGATTTTTATTGGTTAATCAGAGGTTTCAAATCTCAATAACATGATTTTGGTTGAAACTTCTCGTTTTGGTTCCCTATCCAATTTTAGATAAAATACAGTATGAAGAACGTTTATCACAGTAATTGTATACGCATGTCATTACATTTGACCATAAAAACTTTCATTAGAAACAAATGACCGTTAAAATCTATAACAACCACGTGACCTTGACCTGTGGGTGCAAGGTCAAGGACACGCTGACACAAGCGCGGAGTCCAGCAAACGGAGCAAAATCCATAAATTTGTAAAAGTGAAAATGGATGGGACAGGTTGTCCGGCATAAGAATCTCGTCCCACAAGATCGATTGACCTGCAGTAAGACACGCTGTCACCGCCAACACGTCCCTCTCGTTAACTCACGAGAGAACAGGCGAAAATGTTTTAGCCGTAATTTAAAACAAAATATTTACGACCTTTGATGTAGGAAAAATAGAAAGAGGTGTACGCTTGCCAATTTTCCCCGTTGAGTGTTTACTGTGCGAGAACCTTGAAAGCACTAGCTTTTGATGTTGGCGGAAAAAACACTGTTAAACGTATAGTTGAATTACCCTCGCGGGTACTGTTCTTCCAAACAACTGCACATTCTCTTGTACGTCTTCCACTATCTACACCCTGTCTCTTGAAATATTCATTGGAAGGCCCCTCAAAAGCGAGTCTCAGGCCTAATTGATATGCATGACTGTACCAGTCTCACTAAAGTCTCTTTGATATCTCCGTAAGTCTGGCGGCACAACGAGTGTCTGTGAAAACTTCGCGCTTGGCGTTGAAATGGTGCGGAAATGCCTTGTGAACCGTTTCGTCATTAGGAACACCGGTTAAAAACAAAGTCAACCTGATTTAGTGTGGAGTTTCTCTGGACGCCGGACGTCAAAACGTCACGATGACGTGTGAACGTTAACGCTATCCTACCTTTCGCTCATATCCGGGTACTCGGAAAACAATGGGAGTCATGATATAAAAAGAAGGTGTGACGTCATTCTTGTAATGATTCTCACAGATAGGAGAAATATTTACTCAACACCAATGCCTCCATTTAGATTCAGAGCCAGTTTATTGCGATACTTTCAGTTGATGTAAAAACTTCAAAGGAACTGGCGATTTCGCAACACAAAGGACCCCGGACGCTTCGCATAGAACAGGGGGCGGTCGGGGGGCCTAGTTGTTAAAGCGTTCGCTCGTCACGCTGAAGACCCGGGTTCGATTCCCGACATGGGTACAATGTGTGAAGCCTATTTCTAGTGTCCCCCGCCGTGATGTTGCTGGAATATTGCTAAAAGCGGCGTAAAACCATACTTACTCACTCACTCACTCGCACAGAACAGGTTGGTGTTTGCGATCGCCACCAAGACACCAGTTACTATAGTGAAATAATAAAAGCTCGAGCATGTATGAGCGTCCAACCCAATCAAACGAAACCGTCGCTTCTCTGCTCCCAGTGACTCCCCTTTGACGCCGGTAGAGGGCGTTGAAGGGGTTATGGGGTGCAACAGAGGCACTATATCTCTGTCAGATCATATCCAACGTCAAGATGGAACATGTCAAACTGGAACGCCAGTTAAATCAATACGCTGGACTTTTTTTCAACAAGAATGTGATGCCGCTGCCCTTAACACTTCAGTAAACAAGGCAGGATAAGAACCGCGAGATGGGGGAAGGTAGATGTTCAGGTGGTGAGCTGAGAAATGGAGCGAATCATTAGATGTTGATGTGAATGAAATACACCAGGTGTGAAAACAGATACAGTGAGAACAAAAGTAGGATGTATGTTCTCGATAAGGGCCGAAATGCCCGGTGATATGACCCTAATCGTGTTTATTTTATCCTTCTGTGTGTGAACATGCTTGTGTAGGGTAGAGGTGAACATGTTTCCTTATGTTAAAATCTCTGTGCCATCTTGGCAGGAATCAGATTGCCCTAGCAGATTACTGTATACTTAAACCTCCAGCCACGTCTTGAAGACATCACTGTGTCGTGGCTCGGCCTATGATATGGCAGTTGATGGTAAATACTTTATAATCATGTGTTGTGATATTGATAATTACTGTAATAAATCTGGCAGTGTCTGCAACAGGAAGACCGACTCCCTTCTTGTCTTGTAATTCGAATACACGTATAAAATAGCACCTGCACATTCCGGGGAAAGTGAGTGAGTATGGGTTTACGCCGCTCTTAGCAATATTCCAGCAATATCACGGCGGGGGACACCGGTAATGGGCTTCACACATTGTACCCATGTCGGGAATCGAACCCGGGTCTTCGGCGTGACAAGCAAAGGCTACCCTGCCGCCCCCACTCAAATAAAGGTCCGTCTTAACCATATTTAAGTATATTTTGGATTTTTTTCATTAGCAGTATTTGATACGGAGCGTGACGCATAGCAATCCTCGCAATGTGTTATGCAGAGTTGCGTCCCCTAGATGAGAAAGGATATCATACCCAAAGGCTCGAATGTAAGATACCGCTCTGTAACAAGCACTAGTCTGACAGCATCCTATCCATGCGACCGTTCATTCTAACTTATTTGACACGCCATGATAAAACCGAACAGCTGCGGTGTAAAACCCAACGTATTCGCTCACAATTCATATGACCCGAAAGAGAAAACGTTTATCACTTAGAAGGTAGAATTAACATACAATGAAACATCGCGAATCCCGAATTGAACTAAAAAGACGAGGAAAAAACCCTTTTAACCAAGGCATATCTGAAGACATGAAGTTTAAAATGAATCCAACTCAAGGCTAGATTGCCTCAGCATTGTTATGGGCACCATTGGAATTTTCCTTTTTATGGAATGAGAGATTAACTTTATTAATATGAAAGAAAAGAGTGTTCCTTAACTTCTTTTGAGTAGAATATATTCTTAAATAAGATAAACAAAATTCTGGGACAAAATGTTAGCCAAATAACCATCTAGAAACGAGTTTGCAGATAAATCAGACAGTTTCATAATGGTATCAATAATACTTGCTGGGACTGCCGATTTGTCCGCGCATAGCCCTCCTTTAACTGCACATCAAATGATGATATTCGGTTATGCTTGTTTTCCTGTCGTTTCAAGAAAACCAAAACCAAATTCATCATGATCAAGAAAGCCCTGCACACTGTCAATGGTAATTACAGCCTCTCTTCTTTCATGTAGTCCCTGATGCTATTTACATAGCAAAGATGGTGTTTTTCCCATGCTGCAAAGTAGCTATTTTCCCCATTTGCCATCGCCTTATGGTGCCCCAAACGACAGATACATCACATTCCAAAGATACGTCAAAACAAGAAGATGAAACTTATTCTGTACATGAACTAACACAGCATCGTGGCCTCCGCCACAAGGTGTGGTACCGCTGATTGAAAAAACTCCCACTTCAATTGAACCGGAACTACCTTTCATGTTCTTCCGCATTCACAGTCACGGAGCAAATTCCAGGTCACGCGCCATTGGCTTGTTTCATACGTGATACACCAATACAATTCTTTGACAAATATACCATTCCCGCTGAAAAGCCGCAAAATAAATCACGAGGCAAGTACGGAGCACGGTAGGGGAAAAGAAAATATTATGAAAGCTCGTTTGCTGGGGTCGTAAACTGAAAATAAAAACCGCAGGCTTTAGCAGAAGATGAAGTCGGTTTTCACGTGGCCCGTCTAAATGCTTCAGAGAATTGGAATCGGTTACCAATCTAGTTTTTCAAGAAAGGGGTCGTTTTACAGTATTTAGACTTCCTCTGCTAATAGAGCATGTTCGAACAACGATACATGCAAGGTTTAGATGAAACAGATCGCTCGCTCAGCGCTCGTCAACGCACGTGCTAAACGTGATGCTCGTTGCGAAGAATTGCCTCGTTAAACTCGACCCAAACCCAGATGGGATATGATAAAATATGCAATGTGATCTGAAATGTGTTGATGATAAGGCTGTGAAGTAACGGACACACTGCGTGTTTTTCTTTCTGCTTGATTAGCCGAAGCTCTGGAGAAAAGGGAAGCCGAGACGGGAGCATCAAAAGTGAATCAAGAATTGCAATCTGGTTTCAACACATCCGGTCTCCACAGAGCACTCATGAAAATTCAACAAGGGTGGCACAAATTAAAACTTCATGTAATGACGGGGTCGCTGAACAGCAAGAATGGGCGGGATGACAAAATTATCACTGGCCCGAAACGTGTGCGCGTGACCGTGGGTCATCTTACGTAAGTTGCTTTCACTGGCTGTTTCACATTCAGAAATATTGAACAGATTTACCATTTTTTCAGACAAAGGACGCATTATTGTAAATATTAATCATCTCGCCGAAGACCCGGGTTCGTTTCCCGACATGGGTACAATGTGTGAAGCCCATTTCTGGTGTCCCCCGCCGTGATATTGCTGGAATATTGCTAAGAGCGGCGTAAAACCATACTCACTCACTCACCTGCATCAACTTCTGGCTTTCTTCCCACATTAAGCTGACACGCCGTGATACAACTTGAATAATTGAAAGCGGCGCTAAACTCACTCGCTCATTAACCGGAATCCCTACGAGGCTCAGTGACATAAACGAAATACTTGAACACCAAATCTTTAGGAAACATTTTTTCTGCT